TCCTTCAGAAGGTGGGCAGTGAAGTCCAGCTGGTACAATCACAGGTCTGGCTGGCATCTTATTGGGCAGGTGGCCCAGCAGAGATGGCTGTGCAACTTCAAGGGTCCTTCTGAAACCAGGCGTGTGCAAACTCTCGGGAAAGGCAGAGAGGCAGGTGCAGGTGAGCCCTGGAGCAGGAACGAGGGGTGTTTGTTAGAAAACTGTGGGTACTCTGCAAAGATGCCACAGGCTTGCTGTTGTCTTCAAAACCAGAGAGAGAGAGAGAGAGAGGAGAGTCAGAGATCGACATCACCATCTGTGCTTGATGGATGAGAAGCCTTGAAGACTCAGGGTCTTAAGCTGGGGCCCAGAGGGTGTGATCCATGCAAGCCAAACGCTCTTTCAGCTGCAGCCAATGCCTCCCAGGGAGTGGGGACTTCACAGGTGGACCTGGCTGGGAGCTGGGAAGGAGTTTTCTAAAAGGAGTGATGACGACAAGGAAGGAGTTTGGGAGTGGACTGGCACAGGACTATGGGAAGCAGCTGGAAAATGCCTTCCACCAGAGATTTATTAGTGGACATGTGGTCATCGACTTAGCAGGATCAACCCAGTCAACTTGATAAGGAGCAACTACAGCACGCCTACTGCTGCCATATGTAGTGGTGACGATGGAAAGTTTTGCTCCTTAGGTCAGAACAAGGCAAGGAAATCCACACTCACCACTCTTTCTTTCTTTTCTTTTCTTTTTAAAGATTTATTTATTTTTTTGAAAGAGAGAAAGAATCTTCATCTGCTGTTTCACTCCCCAGATGGCTTCAATGGCCAGTGCTGGGCCAGGCTGAAGCCAGGAGCCAGGAGCTTCCTCCAGGTCTCCCACGTGGGTGGCAGGGGCTCAAGCACTTGGGCCGTCTTCTGCTGCTTTCCCAGGCGCATTAGCAGGGAGCTGGATCGGAAGTAGAGCAGCTGGACACGAACCGTGGCGCCCACATGGGATGCCAGCATCCCGGGTGGTGGCTTAGCCCCCTGCGCCAAAACGCCGGCCCCCACACTCACCATTCTTACTCAACGTAGCTCTGGAAACCTCGGAAAGTGTAATAAGGCAAGAAAGGGAATATGAGCAGTCTTTAAAAAGATCATGGAAAATGTGTATTATGAAAAAATATGCATGGATCTCAGTGTTTTCGCATCAAAATAAATTTATCTTTTAATTCCATTATTCATGAACTTTTTGAATTAACTTCGTAAATGGCAGACAGATTGGAAGGAAGATATAAACTTGTGCCTATATGTACAACAGATAATTGTCAGTGGATGAAATCCCAAGGAATTACCAAAAGAAAGTAAATTCATGGAGCTTATAAGTGAATTCAGCAAGGTCACAAAATACAGAATAAACATGAAACAATTAATTGTATTACTAGGTGCTAGAAATGGGGTGTGGAGTTAAAAATATGACATTTATAATTGCTCATTAAAAATAAAACACCTAGGCATCGATCTCACAAAGCATACTCGTATAGAGAGTGCGTATGCTGAGAACCACGGAATGCTGATGAAAACAGAAGGAGACCTGCCACATTCATGGACTAGGAGACAACACAGCAAGTCATCAGTTCATGAATAGGCAACATGTGAGTTAGTCCTCCCCAACTGACATTCAGGTTTATCATAATTCCTATCAAAATCACAGGAAGTTTTTGAAGATATGGACAATATTATTCAAAAATTGTTTATTATTAGGAACTTAACAAATGGGCGTGAGTGGACATAAGTTATTTAGATTTTTAGAATTTCAGATTTTTCAAAATCAGACTTCATTGTATTAAGGAAATTTTCATGATTAAAGACCAAATTTGGAATCAAGATGCATTTTATCTTTAAATGAAGAAAAAGTGTATGTACGTGTGTGTGTTCAGGTTTATTTTCAGCTCTGTCCACTGGAAACATTGATTCATCCAATAATAATAATTATAATCATAATTACTATTGTCTACGCCAGGGTCAAGTGAGGGTCTCGGAAATCTTTTTCTACCAAAATATACAAGGGCTCAGTGAAGATATACTTGACTTCAGATCTAAAACCAGAAAAAATTATCTGAAACCATGAGTTAACAATCCACTAATGCCAATTTTATGTGGTCAGTACTCAATCATTTGTATATCATATTAATTACAATAAGATAACAGTGCTATTTGGATTGTGACTAAACATCAGCTTATATCCTGTCCATCCCATGCTTGTGCACATCTTATAAATTGGGCCAGAGGTCCTATTCAACACGTGAAGGTCTCCAGGAGCTTAAAGACGTCGCCCAATAACTCAGAAGAAACGAGGCTCCCTGCTTTGTGATTCATTAGTTTTATATAAATACTCTAGCAGCAACAGAAATGTTTGTGCTGAGTGCTATACCTTCCACAGACATCAAACTGCCTCCATGGGGTGTTTGAGCTTTTGTGTTGATGTGGAATCACTTATTCTCGCAAGTCGAGGTCTCCAACGGGATCGTTTTCCATTGTAGTTGCAGTGGGAGGTCATCAACCTTCTCTCTAAATTTCCATGTACAGTCAGGGTGCGGGGGATGAGACTTTCCAAACCACATGACCTTGTGATCATGAAGAACTCGAGCGTAATCTGTAATGAAGAAGGACAGCATAATGGGGAGGTATATCTAGCCACACGCAGCAACTTCTTGTCCATTGCACCAGATGTTTGTTGGATATGTCCAATAAGCCAAGCGTCTTTGCTGGTGCCTCAGAGACAAGGCAGAAAGCGGCACAGCCTCTGCCTTCTGATTTGGGTATTAAACTTCCCCAGGAGGTGGGAAGGACCATCACAAAATACACCGAGAACAGGAGCACAGACAGAGAAGGACTGCATTTATAGAAAACAGGTGTCCTGGCTCTGTGCACGCACACCAGTGCAGTGTCTCATTTGGCATAATCAGGTTGCCTTGCAGGGAACGTGAGCTCAAAGCCGTGTGGTAGGAGACTCCATCACTCAGGGTTAGGGATTCTGAGTGGGAATGATGACACCCTCAGATCTGTGCAGACGTCGACTCACTGTGGAAATGAGCCAGTCTGAAACGGGGACATGTGGAAGCCCACATGTCATCTTTTTCATCTTTTCATCTTTTTGATGACTTGCCTGTCGAGAGAGTTGGTGATGGTTTTTAGGGTGAGGACGGGGGCGGGGGAAGCTAAAGCCACTGGCAAATGATGGTGAGCAATCTAGAGGGGCAGGGCCCGAAAGAGCACCACGGTTCCCAGTCCAGATACTGCGAGGCAGTGCCGCGAAGAAGTGGAAAGTGCTTTTTGGAGAAGGAAGACTGATTTGGAGAGATGTGCAGTTTTCCTTTGAGGAAGAAGTGTGGTCATCGACCAAGGATGAGCAAATTGGGCTCACACTGGAAGTTTGAAAAGAAGCAAAAAGCTTTCTAACTTTAGGGCGGGCACTGTGGTAGTGGGTAAAGCCGCCACCTGCAATGCTGGCATCCCATATGGCTGCCGGGCGCTGCTGTTCCCAACACAGCCAGGCACAGAGAAGCCAAACCTCAAGGCTCCTCAACCCCAACGTGTGAACGTTCAGGGCCAGGTGACTCTTCTCTGTGGGAGCTTCCCATACTTGTGACAAACACAAGTGAATGCAGACACTGCCCAGTGTGCTTGGAAGGTGCCATCAGCCCTGTTGAGAATCACTGCTCTGGGTTATATAAAAATGGTTCCTATTTACTAGTGTATAATATGTAACGTCGTATGGAACTCTCATTTTTAACATTGGCATGCTATGTTCTGCCAGAAGTGCAAACTGGATAGTTAGGTAATGATTCAGCACTACCTGGAAGTTGTTCAGTTTTTTGTTTTGCTTTGTTTTTGTTTTTGTTTGTTTGTTTTTGTTTTGTTGTTTTGTTTTGTTTTGGTGTGACCACTTAGGTCAGTCTTCTGAGTGATATTCATTGAGAACCTGGGAATCTTCAGGATGCCTGGAGATTTCTGTGCTGTTTAAGATCTTAGGACAGCAGTGGATAGTGACTAAGTAAGGCTCCATGGCAAGGATGGACACATTAGTCCCTGGAATTAAAAGGCCATGTAGGACGCGTGCATCTTCAGGGAAGCCCCAGGGCTCCTTCTCATGGCATCTTCGTCTGGGTCTGTCTGGTCTGCTCTTGCTGCCAGTCCGCCCTGGGTCTCTAGCTGAAATTGCCAGAGGGGCAGGACGGATGTGACCACTCAGACTCCCCTGGGTTACAGGGCATTCTTGGTGAGCCGCCTCCCCTGCCTCCCCAGATTCGGTCCTGGTCCACTTAGGACGAAGGAGAGCCCTGGATACAGAGGTGTTTCTGTAAGAGGGAAGCTGGGAAGACTTCTGATGGAAGTGCGACGGATTTGGCTTCTCAGTGGCCCATTGGTAGCCCACGCATAGCTCAGACTGAGAGACCAGCAAACCCTTTCCCTCTCCAGACGTGGAGTCTCCCAATCACAGGCTAGCACAGCAGTAACACCAGCCACTGAGGTCATTTCAGTGCATCAGAAGCAAGCGATGGCGACTCCAGAGTGATTCTTGGAGAACCCAGCATTGATCCTTTCCCACATTTCCTTCATTCTATAGATCTTGGACTCACTGTTGCAATAACCCAACAGAGTCCCTTTGGCGAGGTGGCCACTAAATTGCTCAAACCGAAGTCCTCCTTCATTCCTGAAGTGCCCCGGAAGCTTTTTTATTGCTTTAGTGTGTTTCCTGAACAAGTTGGAACCACAGGAACATGGCTCAACACCGGCTCTCACGTGCAGGACCAGAGAGAACCTGCAGGAGACAGAACAGGAGAGGTGTCCCCCTGCTAATGCACAGAATGAGAGCACACGGGCGATGGGTTTGAACTTGCGCATTGTGTGGACGCTACGATTCGAAGACACTCCTGTTATGAATAATTGCAAACTCTAGCTGAATCAAGTTATTCTTTAAGGGAATTCATTTTCATGGTCATGATTAATCATTAGCAATGATTCTCTTTTTTTTATTATAGGTAATGTATGAAATTGTTGGAGCAATTGAAAAAAATAAAGACTCGCTTTCACAGAATCTTCTGTTTGTGATGAAAAGTAAGTTGATTTATTCCTCCTTTACATTGGTTAAAGTGCATTGCATCCTTGGTTTCTTTATCTCTGAACACTTTCCTGTAAAATATGCGAGCGGTTAAAGAATAACTGAAATATCTTTTGCACTCTAATGCCCAGAAATACAAGGAATAGCTCTTGCCACACGAGACATACATTGGTTACAATTTAATCTGGAGTCCAGTGGAAACCATAATTTAACTAAGCTTTTAGCACATAGAAATGTAAAACACCTTTACTGCTTTAGTAGTCCGAATATAAAACACTTTTCTCTGCAGACTAATGAGGATGAATTTTGCGTCCAGAGTTATTGAGGCCTCAGGGCGGTGAATTCATTCCTCAAGAGGACGCTGGGCAGGACTGGAGGTGTTTATTCTTCTGTACATGCAGTTATAGAGCGCCTGTGTCCACTGGGTGGAAAAGCCCACACATTTAAATAGATGTGCATATAACATATATGTGTATGTATGTATCTATACATGTATATACATACCACTAAGCAATATCTCTTAGTAGCAAAGGCCTACGCATATATGAATTTATGGTCCTTTTCACCCTGTGAACATTAGTACTGTATATGTATCTATCTGCCATCATTTAGCCTATATAAACCTATATGGTAAATGTATATAACTATATGTGTATATATGTGTACATAACTATATGTGTATGTATATGTGTATATAACTATATGTGTATATATGTGTATATATGTGTATATAACTATGTATACACATGTGTATATAACTATATGTGTATACACATGTGTATATAACTATATGTGTATGTATATGTGTATATAACTATATGTGTATACACATGTGCATATAACTATATGTGTATATATGTGTATATAACTATGTGTGTATACACATGTGCATATAACTATATGTGTATACACATGTGTATATAACTATATGTGTATATATGTGTATATAACTATATGTGTATACATATGTGTATATAACTATATGTGTACATAACTATATGTGTATACACATGTGTATATAACTATATGTGTACATAACTATATGTGTATATCCATATGTGTATACACATGTGTATATAACTATATGTGTATATATGTGTATATAACTATATGTGTATATATGTGTATATAACTATATGTGTATACACATGTGTACATAACTATATATGTATACACATGTGCATATAACTATATGTGTATATATGTGTATATAACTATATGTGTATACACATGTGTATATAACTATATGTGTATATATGTGTGTATAACTATATGTGTATACACATGTGTACATAACTATATGTGTATATATGTGTATATAACTATATGTGTATACACATGTGTATATAACTATATGTGTATACACATGTGTATATAACTATATGTGTACATAACTATATGTGTATACACATGTATACATAACTATATGTGTATACACATGTGTATATAACTCTATGTGTATATATGTGTGTATAACTATATGTGTATATATGTGTGCATAACTATATGTGTACATATGTGTACATAACTATATGTGTATATACGTGTATATAACTATGTGTGTATATATAATTCTGCTGTAGCGATTGTTTTCTCAATGGCAGTTCTGCAGTGATTCTCATTTTTCTAGCAACCTTTTTGAACAAATCAGAGGCTGTCTCTGTTTTGGGGGTTGAAGTGTCCTACGTGAGATGGAGTCACTTATCTTTCCAAGGAAGAGCTCATGATGCCTTCTATGAAAGATTTGGATGCCTTCAAGTTGGAAGTAGCACGTCCACGTCCCCTCTGGTGAGGGCACAGCTTCAGCTCCTAGCGCAGCAGCACGGGGTCTTGCCTTTCGCAGGGCTACTCTGCCTGTCACTAGGACTTACGCTTGCTTTGAGTCTCTTGGCTGAGACCAGTGACAGAAACATGGACTCGGGATAATATCATGGAGAAACATGGGCCTGAAATAACTGACCCTACGTAGTATCATTGGAAATGCCTTCCTTCTGGTTGGCAGCTGTTTGAACTTCCCTAGTAATGCACTTCCCTTTGGAGCCCGTCCTTCCTGAGGCTCTAATACGGAGCAGGTTTCAGAAGTCGATGCAGTGCTGTTTGCTTTCCTGTTGTATTTCTGGTGATAGAATATATGTATTGAAAATAAATTACAATCACCAGTCTTACTGCAATTCTACTTATCTTTAATAGAGTCCTTATATTTTAGTCATTCTTTTGTGTGTACTTGTTAATAAGTTCCAGGAAGAAAAATGAGTGAACCTTGCGTTATTTTAAGGAAGAGGAGAACTTACAATGTTCCCTTATGTGCTTATCTACGAGGTGCGAGAATTCTCTGTGAGGGGCTGGAGAATCTCTGGGAGCCAAGAGGTCTCCGTGCAGGATCAGCTCTGCTGTGACAGTAGGAAAAGTGTGGACAACACAAACGAAATGGCTGGGCCCCAGCAGAACTTTGTTTACCAAAACCTGTGAAGAGCACATCTGGTCCCTGGCATAATGCCTGCCTATTCCATTAGTCAAGCCAAAGCCATCAGGTTCTGATGGCCTTTTAGGAACCATGGGAGACTTTGATGCTGTAGAAAGTTACTAAAAGCATGTAGAGTTTATAATAGAAATGACTATTTTCCTTCTTTGAGAGGCAGGAGAGAATGAGCCCCCATCTGCTGGCTCACTGCCCTGTACCCACAGTGGACAGAACTGGATCAAGGCCGCAGCTGGGAGCTGGGGGCTCCCTGCAGGTCCCCCGCCTGGGGGGCAGGGTCCCCGTTACCTGAGCTGTGCTGCTTTCCAGGGTCTGCACTAGCTCAAAGTTGGAATTGGGAGCTGGAACTGAGTGTTGAACCCATGTCACACATGGGCTCCTTGACCTCTCTGCCAGGATCTTTGTACATACTCTGCTTACAGTGTCTTCACATTGTCAGAAAGCTCCCAGCTGAGGAAAGTGGTAGACTCTGCGGTTTGATCTGTACAGATAACTGGGCCTACGAGACATCTAACCAGGTCAGGTAGCTTGGAGCACAGCTCAGAGAAATGCAGCAACTACTCTCATTGTGCCTGAGGTTAACGTTTATGGATTTATATGAAAAGGAGAGAAAGAGAGAGCTCTCCCACTCACTGGCTCATTCCCAAATGCCTGTCACAGCTAGAGCTGGGCCAGGCCAAAGCCAGCAGGCCAGAACCAATCCGGGTCTCCCACACGGGGAGGCAGGGACTCGAGTTCTTGAGCCATCAGCAGCTGGTGTGCACCAGCAGGAAGCTGGGACTGGGACCCGAGCCGAGGCTGAAGCATAAGCACTGAGAGGTGATGGAGGTGTCCCAATAGCACCGCATCACCGTGCCAAATGCCCACACCCACCTGAGGTTAGAACTGAAGCCAAGGGGCCAGTGCTGTGGTGTAGCGGGTAAAGCGCCACCTGCAGTGCCGGCATCCCATATGGGCCCTGGTTCAAGTCCTGGCTGCTCCACTTCTGTGGCCATCTGGGGAATGAACCAGTGGGTAAAAGACCAACCGATCTCTCTCTCTCTCTCTCTCTCTCTCTCTCTCTCTCTCTCCCTCCAACTTTGCTTTTCAAATAAATAAATAAATCTTCAACAACAAAAAAAAGTGAAGTCAATTTGGTTCAGAGGCAACACCTAGACTAATAAGGCTGCTCCTAAGCGCAGGGAAATTTAAGATTCGCTGTCAATAATGCTAACCATTTATTGAGTCTTAAGTTGCCCAGGTTCCATTTGAGGGCCAGAAAGATGCCCTGGGCAGACTGTAGGTCCAAGTGAGAGATACTGCCCATCTCTGAGTATTTAGGGTGACATGAGGGAAGTGGTGGCCGCGAGTGGCTCCTTGCAGGAGCAAAGAAGGATAAAACCACCTCTTCACAGGGGTTCCTGTACCAGCTTCTGACGGGCACAGCAAAGCAGGGCGTCTCTCCTGCTGCTGGCTCAGCCGCGGGCAGGGCGCTGATGTTGGTGGCACACAACGGCGCCTCCGTACTTCAGCAGATGACACGAGTCCTCTGTAGTTCAGAGGAAAGCCAGAAATAAAACAGTTAGATGAGGGGGCTTCTTCTGAAAGCCATGGGAAAACAAAATTAAAAGATAAATTTATTTTGGTGCAAAGATTTTGAAACCCATGCATTTGAGGAAGTCTTCAAGCAAGTTCATAGGAAATTCACATTATGAAAAATCTATGCATGGATTTTTTTCTTTTAAAATTTTTCTTTATCTATTTTCACTTTATTGAAAAGCGGAGAGACACAGAGATACAGACACACACACACACACTCACACACACACACACACACACACAGATCTTCCATCTGATGGTTCACTCCCCAAATGCTCCCAACAACCAGGGCTGAGCCAAGCCAAAGCCAGGACGCTGGAAAGCACTCAGACACCTGAGCTGTCCCCTGCCGTCTCCCAGCATTCACAGGACGCTGA